CCCTTTAATTCTCCGTGCCCTGGATTACGCGCGAGTGCCGGGGCCGTGCGTGAACAACGGAGAGCTAACCCACCCACTGCGACGGCAAAGTCGCCCTAGAGGAGCCGAAGATACGTCACGACGCGCGAGGCGACGCTCAACTCTTCAAGAAGTGTTTAATGGCGTGAGTTCACACGGAACTTCACTGGCAAGACTTTTTTTGGTGGGCGGGGAGACGGAAGATTTGATTTCGCCAGAAAATAATTTCTCCTTCATCGACTGGGCCCAAAATCTGGGCGCCAAAAATCCCAATTTCATTACGCCCACATTTTTAAAAAAAATAAGAAATCACGATCTATGAATATTGTTCCTGAGCACCTGGAGAATTTAGAAACATCTTAGCCAATCAACTTATTTAAGACAAAGTTCTCAAACCGTGGTCTTTTTTTTTGGGGGGGGGGGGGAGGCAAAGGTATTTGAAATATATAACTCAGGAAGCCGTCGACTGTCCACACGAAACGTCGGACGGCTTCAGATTTTGTTTGACGTGGTTTCGGTTTCATTACATCTCAAATTTGGTCAATTTTTTGAAGAAAAAAAAAGAGAACATTTCAAGGAAACCGCCCAACCCTCAGCGGCTTCGTCCTAATGTCTGTCCGTGTCTTCCGGACCGACAACATTTCAAGCGTCTGGCGTTCCTTCTTAAACGACACTCGTCTCCATTAAAAAGGCTCACGTTTACCACAAAAGAAACAGCAGTAGCGAAATACACCGCAGTCTGGAGGGCGCTGACCCCGGGGGTCGGGGGGGCCGTGTCTGTGTCTTCTCCCCCTTGTTATCACCTCGGGCTCACGCTACATTTAAGGGTTGGGGCGGGGTGAGAATGAGATTGTTATGTTTGTTATTCATGTGGGATTGGGGGTTGACACCACTGCGAACTGGATTCCCCCTTCTTCACCCTGCAATTTGCCACCACTTTCCGCCATAAATCACAGGCCAGGGCAAACGGAAGCCCGCCCCATCATTTCACGCAACTTTCGCTGGTCGGGAAGGGGGAGACAGCCTCTGAGGCAGTGGCGGCTCGTGACTCGGAAGGCGAGGACCTTTATTCAGGTGTTCCCTCTTCGACTCTCGAGCCGATGCAGGCCACAATCTCAGAAGTAAGAGACAATTGATTTGTAGGCGCTACTGGAACCAATGAGGAGAAACCTCGGGCAGGTGAGAATTCCGTTGTCAGATCTGCGATCGCAAGTTTGCAGCCGTCAAGAGCACGGGTCAGTCTATATCGAGCGACAGGTGACTCACTCGCCAGCTGAGCAGCGTTTGGAGTTGATTCGAAGGCACGTCAAGCCGTGACGTCACCGCAGACAACTGGTGATCTTGCCTCTGGTGCAATTCTTACGTCAGGACACACAGCAGACGGAACGACTTCGAAATGCGTTCTCTCTGACAAGCTGACACACGCACAAGAACGCGAAAGCAGAAATAAAACGAAGTCACAATCTAAAGAATTCTTTAACACTTGCAGATGTACCCACGTAACAAACTTTACAGAAGTAAAGAACATTCTGTCAAAGTGTTTCCTTAGACATTTCAGAATAATGGAGATTGGCCATAAACGGCCGTAGGATGCTGCAGAATCTGATGCGAAACCCAAACCAACAAATCACGCCAAACATAACCTAACGTAATAAAATTCAACTCCAAAGCAGCCGAACATTGCGCATGGTCGTCTGCGCATGCGAGTCACTGAGCGAACCAAACTTAACCTAACCCAACTTAATGATAAAAGGCACCGTTAGCAAATGATCATTATCGTTTCCGCGTCATGAACCTAACATTTAACGCTGATGCATTTAAATCTATTCAGATATCCTGCGGACGGAGTAGGTTAGAATCCACATTAACAAGAAATGGATAACTGCCACGGTAATCATAAGTATCGACTGATTTGGTTCACCATTTTTATATCGCTCTAAAACATATTTGGAGAAAAGTGCATTGTTTACAGTACCTTAAAGTTGAGTTTGGTGTGATTATTCTCAAATCAGTAGATGCAGAGACCCACATCACAATTTTCACACGAGGGTAGTTTCCCCTCCTCTTCCCACGCATCGTCTCTGTGGCTTCGACTTATTGCCCGTCACCGATCCAACGATCAAGTACCGTCTCAGGCAAAACACAACATGTTTTCGGTCACTTTTATAAGAACCACAGTAATCCAATCCATTCTTTACCACCCGCACGGATTCATCAGCTGATAACTTACGCTGCGATGAACACGCAACGCCAGCGCGTGGTCGATCTCGAAAACTTGGTGGTCGTACAATTTCGCCAACTTTCCCACAATCGGACATAAACAGAAACAGATTTGATACCACTCAGACTGGGGAGGGAAATTTTCTTGTTTCAGCTTCAGACACTAAAAAATTCTATTATAAACGTCAACGTCTAAGATCAATTACAGGCCAAAATTTCTCTGATTAGTATGTCAGGGCTTGAGAGTCGTTCTGGAATACGATTACTGCCTAATCATGCACCAAGTATTCTAGCATCCAAAACTTCATTCTTTCGACTACATCAGCGGTCCCCAACCTTTCTGACTAATGATCCACTAAATTATACATTAGGGCAATTCATTGAAGCTTACTGAAATTGATAGGCAAACATGTCCACACGTCTCGTTGTTAAACGGATTTGGAAATTTGTTATTTTTATCATCTATTCACTTAAAATTATACGCAGCCTACGTTAAATGCAGACAGTGACAATTTTGCATGAAGACGGCTGTCTTCCGGGATGCTGCACTGTAGTCTGATAAATACTGACCGACGTTTCAGTGTAGCTCACTGCTTCCATCATCACGGAGGAGTGCGCTTTGTCACGCTCGATCCGAGTCCAAGCCGAGACGAAGGAGATCCGCGGTTCAGGCCAAGGGATTCCGGGCATCACACATCAAACCACATCTCTGTTCAAAACGGGCGTCGGGCATAAATAAGGAAGGCAGAGAAAAGCCACACACAAGGAGATTAGGAAAGACTGGAATTATGATGCCAGCTGTACGCTTACATCGCTTCCAGTTCGGGACTAAGAAAATTTCAAGCGCTTCATTTTTGTTGCACGGCCATTTGTGTTCACAGAACAACTTTTAAAGACGATCGTCAATATAACACAGAACTGAATGAATATGGTACAAAATTAAAAAAGTTACAGATTAAGGAAAACATTACATTTGGTAAATGCACGAATCAACGACGGCAAGCTTGCAAACATGAAACTCGGGAGTTCAGAAGTTTGCAGAAACTGGAACCGATGCCATGTTCTGTTCAGACGCCGGACTCTGCCGAGCGACGACATTTCTTGTTTTAAGAATTCTTGGAATGAAGTTTCTTCATGGACGAGCGCGTCTCACCTCAAGGACCCCAGACTTCTTCTTCGTCAGCCGCTCGCTTCAGTATCGAGTGAGAACAACCGGGAAGTTTTCGGTGATCAGATGATCATCTTGAAATATGATCACTATGTTGACTTCAAATTCTGAAGAAGAAAAAAAAACACAAGCATCAGTGAAAGTGAAGTGATCACAATTGCCCGTTAAGTGAAAAACAGTTCTTTTGTTACAAACAAAAATACTCCTTTGTTACCCTGACCGTGCATAAAGAAACACTCGTTCCACGAGTCTCGTTATCACGCGCTGTACTCACGACATCGTGCACTTCATTTCCACTTACCAACTTTAAAATTGCTTGTCGAAAGGGTTGGACACGTGAACAGCCGAGGGAAGATCATGTAGATTGGAATTGCCAAACCACAGGCCACGTTCCCTTCACCGATCTGAATGTTCTGTATCTCTGTCGCTGAAAGGGACAGAAGCCAATTTATTACTTTCTATTCACTAATTCCACACGGTGCACATCTCAAGATTCATTCAAAGCTGACGTCAACCAAGAATTCAGACCTGGTAGAGTACCTTCACTATCTGCTGCTAAACACCAAATGATAACACCTGACGATTAACAACGCACCTAAATTCAGTTTTAAGTACGAGGCTTACGCGAGCAAGATAAAGCCACCTCTGCAATTACGGTACTCTCAGATTTTCTCATTCAAAAGCGTAAAACACATCATCCTGATCTTAATTAATAACGAGTCCACAAATTTCTCATAATGTTCACCATAACGAAGGCAACCGTTATGTTTGCAGAAACAATCAAATGCCTCCACAAAGGCACGCCTTAAGCCTGAAAGCCCATCCTATACAAAGGTCGTAACTGATAACTTAGCGTACAAATTTTAAAAACATTGCAAATGGCTCAGAACAAGTTCTGCGCATTCCAGTCACATACAAAAAGACAATAAGGATCGACCAGAAGTCCTTTTACCGTCTCTTGCGTAGCCCTCGGCGCAGCCGCAAGTTTCCACGCGGACCAGCTGCAGTTCTACGGACTTTATGGGGACCTCGCAGTGCTGTATAATCAACTGGAAAAACAGTGGGCGTGTAAGTCAACAGATGGCACTCAAGTTTTCACACAGAGGCTATGCATCGTGTCACCCAGACACCAAATTAGCTGAATTTTAACTGTACATCTTATTTTACCTTCCTGCAGCGCATCTACACGCTACCCCTATTCATTAACCAAAACAGCAAATCCCACCACCGGATAATGTTCCCAGCCACTTCAATTGGTTTCAAACCCTCACAACCAATTTTACTAAAATCAAATTTAATTATCTTATCACTCACTTTTGCGTCCAATAAAATAGTTCCCCACTCAAAATTCTGGGCTGTACAGATCATCAAGTGTGGTCGCTCCGTACTCACTTTTCCTCTCTTGGGTACCAGAACTTAAACAATTAGCGTTAGTTTTTGTTTGAAGAGTAAATAACAAGATCTTGCTATTTTAAAGCGAACCCTGCAAGCATGAAATAATCAGGCGTCCGACAGACTCTCCCAGGATAAAAGGGAAAGTCAGAGAAACTCTTAACAAGTGAAT